GTCAGGAGGAGGGGGTGAGCGTGTGGGCAGGTGGGGGCAGAAGGGAGTGACAGAGAATGGGGAACAGGATGAGCAGCAGGGGCAGACGTGTAGAGGGGAACATGGGAGCAGAATAAGGGGCAGTGGCTGAAACAGGACAGGGGCTGCATGGATTAAGCTGATACAAACAACACACCATCTCCCCCCCCCCCCCCCGCCCAGACTGTTCCAGGACCTTCGACTGCCCTTCTCCTTCAAACAGCTCGCTCAGATTCACTCCCCTCCTTTTCCTTCAGCAGCAACCCCTCCCCCTCAGACACCTGCCCCCCTCCCTTCCTCCCTGAACCCCTCCCATAACTGTGTCTCCCTTGAGCTGCCCCTGGCTTTCCCAACCCCCTTGCACCTGCTACTGAGGGGTGGGGGATAGACTAGTTCCACCTCCTGCCCCTCATCTTCATCAGAGTTTGAACCTTGGAACTTCAGTAGTGAGCGCTAGCATTTGAGCTATAGGGCTAACTCCATTAGCTGGCAGCAGAAGACTGTTATATTGTGTGAACCAGCCACTGGAGGATGATGCATAACACTATTTTATAGGTAAGGACAAATATAGCAGGATCTCTCTGGGGGGCAGCATGGTTAAGTGGATGGGATTTGGGTCTGTCAAATCAGAGATCTGGTTCCTGTCTCCACCTTGTGTAGATTCTCAATGACATATGAACCCTTGCTTAACAACAGTGGAGAGTCAACTCAGGTTGAGACTTACCAAGTGTCACGGAGTCCCCGGGCGATGCTCTGGAACTACTCCCTACGAAGCCAATCAGGACTCTGGGGAGCCTCCTCTCTGTGAGCAGACTGTCTCCAGGGCAAGAAGCTCACACGGCTTCCCTTTCCTGGGTCTGACCTCGGAGCATTCAGCATCGTCTGCCCCTCTGTGCGCTTCCCACAGCGAGTCTGCCCAGGTGGGGCTCCTGGGGAAGCCAGAGGGCCTTGCACCCCAACTCCGCAGTCAGACGTGACTCTCAGCCAGCCGGGAAAACAGAGGTTTATTAGATGACAGCAACACGGTCTAAAACAGAGCTTGTAGGTACAGGAAACAGGACCCCTGAGTCAGTTCCATCTTGGGGCCAAGGAGTCCAGACCCTGGGTCTGGGCCTTCCTCTCTTTCCCCAGCCAGCTCCAAACTGAAACTCTCCAGCTGCTCCTCTGGCCTTTGTCTCTTTCCGGGCCAGGAGGCCACCTGATCTCTTTGTTCTCAAACACCTTCAGTAGGCTCCTTGCAGGGGAGGGGCCCAGGCCATCAGTTTCCAGGAGACAGGGTGTTGGCCATTCTCTATGCAGACAGTATCACACCTGCCCTCTCAGTCTCTGCAACAATCACACACCCTTATCCCACCACCTAGATACTTAAGAAATGCATAGGGGAAACTGAGGCACCCACACAGTAGTCAGAGAAAACCTTAAGAACATTCCCACTTCATCACAGTAAGTAACAAGCAATTTTCTAAGTGATCGAAAAATCACATGCTGATTCGATTGTCTTGAAAACTGTTGTGCCTACTGGTGTGTGAGGTAGGGTTAGTGGTCCAAATTTGGGGGGGGGGGGAGAGGGTGACAAGGGATTCCTGAGAAAAAGCCCCCCATAAATATCTTGTGACATCAAAATTTCCTAAAAAAACAATGAGGAGTTTGGTGGAACCTTAAAGACTAACAGATTTATTTGGGCATAAGCTTTTGTGGTGTCTGAGGGATTGGAGCAAATGCAGTTGTATCTTAGGGCTTGGCTGTAGACAATGGATCGAGTGGTGTGTCCTGGATGGAAGCTGGAGGCATGTAGGTAAGTATAATGGTCAGTAAGTTTCCGGTATAGGGTGGGGTTTATGTGACCATCACGTATTTCAACTGTGATGTCTAGGAAGCGGTCCAGGCTGAGGTTGTTGTTGGGGTGGAAATTGTTGAAATCCCGGTGGAATTCTTCAAGGGCCTCCTTTCCATGGGTCTAGATGATGAAGATGTCGTCAATGTAGCGCAAGTAGAGTAGGGGCGCTAGGGGGCGAGAGCTGAGGAAGCGTTGTTCTAAGGCAGCCATAAAAATGTTGGCGTACTGTGGGGCCATGTGGGTACCCACAGCAGTGCTGCTGACTTGAAGGTATAAATTGTCCCCAAATCTGAAATGCTTGTGGGTGAGAACAAAGTCACAAAGCTCAGCCACCAGGTGTGCCGTGGCCTCATCAAGGATTCTGTTCCTGACGGCTTGTAGTCCATCCTAAGAACATAAGAATGGCCGCACTGGGTCAAACCAAAGGTCCATCCAGCCCAGTATCCTGTCTACTGAGGGAAAAATTGCATTTGCTTGAATGTTGTGGTCTGTCAGCCTGTCATTGTTACTTTACTCAGTGTAACTCTATCGACTTCAGTGAAGTTATTCCTGATTTACACCAGTGTGTGCCAGGGGAGAATCATGCTGCATGTATTGTAAATAGCTGCAGGAGAATCTCATTTGTGCTTTGTTTTGTTTTTTAGCAGACGGCTGAATCCATTATGGGAGGAAAACAAAGTTCAGTGAGTATCAGGAGAAACGGGTCATTTCAGAGTCCAGCTAAATGAAATGTTCTGGGGCAAAGTATATGTAACACTGACAGACCTGGGTCGTCGGCAGGTGGGATTGAACCTGGGATCTTTGGAGCTAAAAGCATGAGCCTCTACTGCATGAACTAAAAGCCAGCTGCTATTTAACAAAGGCTGTAGACCAGACTTGCTAATCTCTCTCTCAGTGGTCTCAGTACCTCTGGGTTACATATATATATTTCGCAGGGAGATTTGCTTTGTCTTGTGGCTTCATCTCGTCTCTGCTCAGCTTAGTTTTCTAAAGGCAGAGCAGCTTCTCTTAGGCAAGAGGAGCCTCCTCTACCACAACTGCACCCCTCTTACCGCTTGCTTCTCGGCCCAGATATTTGTCCCATTTCCCTACTATGTCCCCGACCTTGGTATCATCCTTAACCCTGACTGTGACTCCTCTACCTCTTCCGTGTCTGCAGATCTGCTGCCTCCGTAACGTGGCTTTCCCAAGTGTAATCAAACGATGCCCAAAGTGGGCTAAGGGAGCTCAGGTCGATGCGTTGCTATTTCATGCATTCTTTATGTCTACGTTCTAATCATTTTGCAATATTCACATTTTTGAAATCAAATATTTCAGCCAGAGTCTCCTCCAGGAAAGCAAACTGAAGACAAAACCGGTAAGAAAATGACATTTCCCCTGTGCTGTCCTTATTTCTGCATGAATTGTCAGCTTGTGATTTTCCATAATGAAATTGAGAGCCTGGCTAGCACGGGGGTTTGATCCATGCTCCGGAAATATCTCTTCTCACTCAACAGGTTTGCATGGGGCTCAGTAGTTCCCTCTCCCCAGTTTGGCCTCTTTGCTCAGCTGCAAGGACAGATGCAATCACTGTAAAAACAAGAGAAGCAGTTGCTAGGTCACCTGGCTGGGTGCTGTGGGATTCTCACTAGCACTGGTCAAAAAGTTTCCACCAAAGCTGTTTTTTGTTGGAAAATTGGGTTTTCTACTAAACAAAACTTTTCCTAAGAAGTGGGTGCTGTCCATGGCTAGTTTGGACTTTCCATCAGAAAACCAACAACTTGTTGTCTTTTGGCGACTGGATTTAGACTGAAAACTTTTTATGTGTTTTGTTTTGTTTTTATGAACATTTGAAATTTGTCAATAACAGTAAATTCCACCCAGCTCTGCTTCTGACAGTACAAGTGGGGTTCTGTTGTTTGGGTTGAAGGAACTGACTTACATTTTAGATAAAATAATGTTTGAAATGTCTCTGCTCCTGCAGATAAAGGTTTGATACTGCTGGTGTGTGTTAAGTTGCCTCCTCATATCTCTGCCAATGCACCCCAGTCCTGACCTGTGATAGACCCTGGTGTTTCAGTCCCGGTTCTCTCCGGAACAAAGACCCAGGCTATGGGTACACGACAGAGCTCACGGCAGCACAGTTGCATTGGTGCAGCTGCACCACCATAGCACTGCTAGTGCAGACGGTCTAAACCATTGGGAGAGAGCTCTCCTGTCGGCTTAATTATTCCAGCCTTGTGGTAGCTGTGCTTCTCCCACCAATATATCGCCGTCTACACCAGTGCTTCGGTCAGCGTAACGTACATTGCTCAGGGGGGTGACTTATTCACACCTCTGAGTGACAAAAGTTATGTCAAGGGAAACTGTAGTGTAGACATGGTCTAGCAATCAAGGCAAATCTTGCAGTGGTTTTGTAATGTGGGAAATTGTTTTCTATGGTCCAGGACGACACCAAAAATGGTTCACTGAAGAGCAGTCCTTACACTGGAACTGACAGTTCACACTCCCACCCAACAGAGCTGTACTGGGCTACAGGTTTTCTCCCTCAGTCCCACCCCTTTGAGGGCTGCAGTCAGTCCCACAACTGCCTTGAAAAAAACCCAGATTCCTTTCCATTTTTTCCTAATTCCTCCTACCCTCTCCCTGCATTTCTCCAGATTTTACAAACAGGGAGCTTTTCCCAGGCTGCACTGCCAGTGTAACGCTGACAGACCCCAGTCATCAATAGGCAGGATTGAACTGGGGACTTCTGAAATTTAGTGCATGAGCCTCTACCGCAGGACCTAAAAGCCACCTGCTCCTTAGCTAAGGCTGTAGAGCAGCCTCATTTTCTCTCTCTCTAAGTGGTCTCAGTGCCACTAGATAGGACAGAACACCACACCCAGAAGGTGTGTGGGTTACACCAGCTCCACAGACAATCTCGACTTCCTGGGTGTGGTTGGAAGGATAGTCTGTGTCTGTGGGATACCCCATCCCTGCACCCGCCTAACTGGTCTGAGGACAGTCAGGCCGATGTGGACACAGGTTCGGTGGGGACTCTGCAGCTCCTCCCTGACCAAGAGTGAGGGGTCACTTGTGGGCAGGTCAGCTGCTCTTCTGTATCTTAGCTCCCTTCCTCCAATGAGCCTTCCACCGATCCTACCCCCATTTCTCCCCCATGCAGCGGCCAGGGCAGTTACTGCTGACCCGGTGCAGCCCAACACCACAGGGAGAGGGGACCCGGAAGGTGAGTTTTAATGAAATCACAAAGGACCATTTTCTCCCCCTCCCAGGCCAGTTGCCCTTGGTGGCTGTTCTTCAGCCTGACAGGCCCACCCTCCCCAGCTGGCAGCTCCACTTAGCACCGGTCAGCCAGAGCGGCTTTCCCTGGGCTGCTCGTCCATTCAGTGTCCCGGGCTGTTACCCAGCTGATGAACAGCCTTACTGGCTGGAACAGTCGGGAAGGCACCATTTCCCCTGGTGTAACTCCCCCAGCCGAGTGCCAGGCAGACTCCATGCGAGGGGAAGAGCCAAGGGGATGCTGTGGTCATTGCCGAGAGAGGGCTCCTCTCTGGGATCCAATTGCTCCTCTGCTGCTGTGTAGACCGGCTCCCCGGGGAGGTGCTAAGGGCTCCATGCCACGGAGAAGGTGGGATTTGGCTCTAAAGCCGGGCAATGCAGCTCTACTGCATTTATTCCCCCGGACGTGTTCATCAGCTCCCCTAACTGAGAGTGACAAGAGCTGTTATTGTGGGCATGGTGCATGTTCTCCATCGACTTCTACTGTCTGTACCTCTCCTCCAGTGTTTTCTTCCTCTCCTCCCCTCTTTTCCTTCACTGTTTTCCCTCCTCACTCCTGTTTTCCTTCTCCTGCTCCCCTGGCTCCACTCTTTTTCCCTTTCATCCATCTGTCCCAATTAATTGTTCCTTCCCCATTTCCTCTTTTCTCCCTAGTCTCTTTCCTTTCTCTTTTCACCCCCAAAAATAAAACAAAGGGGCTGATTTGTAGAGGTGCTGAGCACCCAAAACCCCAGCTGAAGTCAGGAGGAGCTGCGCGTGCTCCACTTCTCCAGAAGTCAGGTCCAAGTTAAACTCCTTGGGCATCTTCCGCTAAACAAGGAGCCCATTCTCTAGCCTGCCCCGGGCTCTTTCTGCTGCTCCCACCTTCCTGGACTGACTACTGGTGACTGCTGCTCCTCTCTGCGTGTAGTGGAGGCTGGACAGGGAGCTAATGAGACCTGGTGGCAACACCACACCATGGAGAGTGATTCCAAAACAGAACAGTTAGGATCCAGATCAGCATCCCTCCCAGAAACACCTGATCCCGGCGCTGGCCCCCTCCAGCCCAAAGCCTGATGGGTGCTTAGAACTCACTCCAATCTGAGCCGAGGCCTCCAAAGGTGACAGGCTGTCAGTGCCAATCCCTCACTTTGCTACTCCGCTCCAACATGCAAAATGTTTCCGTGCCGGTTAACTAAGGCCTTACAACAGTTATAATTACAGAACGGGAAATCCCCAAACACCCCCATTGTTACTTTATTATCTTTACCATGACATTGTCAAACTTCTTCTTCCAGGCCTAAGAGCTGCCAGACAGTACACTGAGAAACCTGAACTACGGATTGTTCTTGTTGGTAAAACTGGATGTGGGAAAAGTGCAACAGGAAACTCCATCCTCGGTGAGAATCTGTTTGAGTCTAAAATTACAGCACAATCAGTAACAGCGACGTGTAAGATGGAGAGCAGGGATTGGAATGGCAGGAACATTGCAGTCATTGATACGCCTGGTCTTTTTGACACAAAAATTCCTTTAATAGAAACTATGGAAGAAATAGGGCGTTGTGTGGTAGTCTCCACCCCAGGGCCCCATGCTATAGTTCTGGTGATGCAGTTGGGTCGTTTCACTGAAGAAGAGAAAAAAACAATTAAAAGAATACAAGACATTTTTGGGGAAAACGCTGTTGAGTACATGGTCTTCTTGTTCACCAGAAAAGATGACTTAGATGGTTGTACTTTAGATGAATATTTAAAAGCTATGGATGACAAAGATCTTGAGAAGTTGATGAAAAAGTGCGGGGATCGATGCTGCGCTTTCAACAACAAAGCAGAAGGACAGGAGCAGGAAGCCCAGATTTCAGAGCTGATTGAAATGACTGATAAGATGGTTTACCAGAATGGAGGCTCACATTATACTAATGCCATGTATGAATATGCTCAGAAGAAACTTCAAGAAAAAATCGAGACGCTCAGAGAACTCTATGAGGAAGAGAAGGAAAAAAAGAAAAGAAAAGTGGAATCTCAGTATGAGGAGGAATGTAAGAAAATAGATGAGAAATTACAGAAAGAAGACTCATCTAATGAAAACACTTTGAAACAACAGAAAGAGGACGAGAGACAAAAATTGGAAAAAGCTTTAGAGAAAATAAATATCCACTATGAGGCACAGCTACGTGAACTCAGGAAAAAAGCTGCCGAGGATGTTAATATAATAAAAGCTATTTTAAAACAATTCTCTTCTGTATTTTCAAAAATGAAACGCTGGTTTGAATAATGATCGACTTACTATAATTTCTCCTTCTCTTGCCACTTTGCCACTTTTCAGTAGTGATGAATGGAGTTTCAGTGCTTTGTAACACTTTCACCTCCTATTTTTTTCTTCACAGAAGTTTACATTTGTATCAGCTTCTTAGTCAGCTATGTACTGTCATACCCTATGGCTAATGCATACAAAATATGAGTAAATGAAGCTATTAGCATTTGCTCTTTATTAACAATGTGTGTTGGTTCCATTAAAGACTCTGGCTATAGCTATTAGTTCTCTTCCGGACTAAGTGTTGGAATAAGCTTGGGTTGATATATTATATTAATTGTGACTAATATTGTTGTCAATATGGTGGTAAATGTCGACCTTACTTCTGTTAAGGAATCATTTACAGAAATCAGAATCTGTTCATAAAAATAACCATTCATAAGTATTCACTGATCAGTTTGGATGAACAGTTCTCAGCTCATTGGTTGTTCTCAAGCAGTTCATTCTGACTAGTCAGTATCTGTAACTTGTGACTGGCCACCCAAGTCACATGATATTGTTTCTGCTTCTGGATGGAAATTTTGTAAACAAGAAGATAACAAATGATCCATGATTTTCCAATAATCTGGAAATTCATGAAACCTTCAAGATTTGCAAATATTTTTTCACATTCAATTCAGTATGTCTATTCACTAAACTATTTGTGACTCAATGTTTTAAAAATATTCAACCAGTTCTAACTGCCATGTATCTCCCGCAGTCCTGCCACATTTACCCCTGGATATAGCCTACCTGTAATCATGTAATGTACTTCTCCTATATTTTCCTGTTTAGCTTTTGATTTGCTGTGAAATGTCATGTGATAATGTCCATGACTTATGAATGATGCTATGAAAATAAATTCTATTTGTATTTAACCGTATGGCAGCACTTGGGGTTGTAGAACTTGAGGACTCTACTTAGGCGATGTCTACACTGGCAGATGTACAGTGCTGCAGTTACTGTGCTGCTCACAGAGCGCTGCAGGGAAAGCGCTGTTGTGTGTTCACACTGTGCTCCTTGTGACTGTGGAGCATGTCCACATTAGCAGCTCTTGCAATGCAGAGAGCAGTGCATTGTGGGAGCTATCCCAGTGTGCATGTGGCCGCAGTGTGGTTTGGAAAGGGTTTGCAATGCCTCATGGGGCAGGCCCACCGTCACATGATGCAGGTTTCCCAATCCCATTGCTCCAGGGCATCCTACTAGACTGCCAGCTGCTTTTCAAATGCGGGGGGGGGGGTCGAGTGTGACAGGGAGTGTGCTGTGTGTATGCGGGGGGACAGACAGTGTGTTTTGGGGGGCAGAGAGTGTGTCAGCATGCTGTCTTGTAAGTTCAGACAGCAGCAGGGAGAAGGGGGAAACCCCAACATCAGCCTCCCACCCTTCCTCCACACACACGCACAGACACCTGCCTGTGCAGCAGAAGCATTCCACAGGAATGGTTGCTTTGTGTCCCGGAGCAGGTAAGCAGTGGGCTGTCAGAAACGGAGCTTTGAAGCGTTATCCGCATGCCTGCAGCCGAGTTCAAAACAATGACCAGAGTGGCCACTTGACTTCAGGGGATCATGGGACATTTCCGGAGGCCAGTCACAGCGCCGTAATGTAACACATAGTCCACACTGATGCCCCAGTGCTGTAGCCATGGTGCAGAAAGCTCTACGCCCCTCGTCGAGGTGGATTACCTAGAGCGCAGCAACTGTGGAGTTAGTGCGCACTAAGCGCCTTGCCAGTGTGGACACCTCGGGGGTTACAGCGCTGGGAGCTGATTTTCTGAGCTGCAACTTGCCAGTGTAGACACAATCTTGGTTTTATGCTGAACTTTAGGACACATTAACTTAGATATAATTTATTATAGAGCAGTGATTGCCCCCTTATAGTTACAATTAATATTTGCTTTCCTTTATAAATGAGTGAAGGGATTCTCCCTTCTACTACAGCCCCTGGATAATTCTGAGGGGGGACTCAAGGAGAATTCTTCTTTGAGTATTTGTCCACACAGACCCCACTGTAGTACGTCTGCCTCCTGTGCACAAGCCCAGAATCTTTTGACTAGTCCTGTCCGTTGGGGTTGTGCGTACACCTGGAGCACCCATGGGGAAAAATTAGCAGGTGCTTAGCACCCACTGGCAGCCAAGCTCGCCTCCCCCCAGTGTGTGTCACCTGCCAGTGGCCCCACTGACCAACTCGTCCCCTTCCCTCTCAGCACATCTCCTCCACTGTTTCGCAGTGCTCAGGACGTTCCGGGAGGGGTGGGGAGGAGTGGGGATATGGTGCGCTTGGGGTAGGAGGCAGGGAAGAGGTGGGGCAGGGACTTGGGGAAGGCATGGAATGAGGGTGGGGTGGGGGTAGAGCAGGGGTGGGAAGAGGCGGGGCGGGGACTTGGGGAAGGGGTGGAATGAGGGCGGAGTGGGGGCGGAGCAGGGGTGGGAAGAGACGGGGCAGGAGAGGGGCCTGGGGTGGATGGGGGATCGAGCACCCACCGGCCAGAGAGGAAGTCGATGTCTATGGCTACCATAGTGTCCCACTGCTTCCCTGTAGCTTCGTTAGAAGACTCTTGGAGTGGTAAGAAGCTGGTGCCACAGGTGATACTGGAGCATAAACCCCTGAGCAGAGGCACAAAGAGGTGAAAAGTGAGCTGAGGTGAATACTGGGCATGAGGGAAAACAAGAGAGCCAGCAGTGGGTGGAGGCAGCCAGCAAACATAGTCCCTTGTGCAGGTTGGGTGGATAGGGGGGTGAGTGGCAGTATCTTATTTACGCTCATTGTGTTATCATTGATATGCCCTGTCTTGAACATGGTCATAGAATCATAGAAATGTGGGGCTGGAAGGGATCTCGAGAGGTCATAGGGTTGCCATCTTTCTAATAACTGGTAAGCAGACCTGGCAGGCTCTCCCCCTTTTCCACCTCTTCCTCGAGGCCCCACCCCCTTCTCCACCTCTTCCCCCCCAAGGCCCAGCCCCTGCTCTGCCTCTCCCCCCCCTCCAAGATTAAAAAAACCCAGACATCTGGGCTTGTCTAAGGCATCTGGACACACAAGGCAAAACCTGGACTGTCCGGGTGAAAACCAAATGGGTGACAAGGCAACTGTCAGAGGTTATCATGTCCATACCCCCACATTGTAGCAGGATAACGCCTAGACCATCTGTAATGGGTGTACCAGGCCCTTTGAGGCCCCCTTCTGGAGGCCTCATGGTCCTACCACACCCTGTCCCAGGACAGGAGCAGTGAAGATAGGTCCTCCTGGCCTGCCTAGAATGGCTGCTTCCCTGCAACCTATCAGAGCCCAGAAGGCTCAGTTAAAAGGAGCAGCTGGGTCTCAGCAGGTCAGTTCCTGGCTGAGACCAGAAGGGATAGGACAGAGGGAGTCTCAACATAAGAACATAAGAACAGCCATACTGGGTCAGACCAAAGGTCCACCTAGCCCAGTGTCCTGTCTTCTGACAGTGGCCAGTGCCAGGTGCCCCAGAGGGAATGAACAGAACAGGGAATGATCGAGTGATCCATTCCTTGTCGCCCATTCCCAGCTTCTGGCAAACATCCCTGCCCATCGTGGTTAATAGCCATTGATGGACCTATCCTCCATGAACTTATCTAGTTCCCTTCTGAACCCCATTATTGTCTTGGCCTTCACAACATCCTCTGGCAAGGAGTTCCACAGGATGATAGTGCAAGAAGGCATGGGAGAGACCATGCACAAACAGGGAAAAAGACAGAGAACCCAAGGACCGTTACCCTAAGGCAGTGGTTCCCAAACTTTTTATGTTGCCTCCCCCCTTACCAGTAATGTAATCAGCCTGCATCACCACAAGAGCTGGACCAAGGAGTCAGGGGCCACGGCCAGCGCTGGAGCTGTAGCTGGGTCCGCAGCCGGGAGCGGAGCTGTGGCCGAGGCCAGGAGCCACAGCCAGAAGTCAGGAATAGAAGCTGTGGCTGGGAACACGGCTGGGGTTGGGCCACGGTTGGGCCACAGTCAGGGCCGGGAGCCAGGAGCCGAAGCCGGGGCCTTGTTGGGGGTTGGGCTGGGGCTGGGGCCAGGGCTGGGGCCGGAGCCAGAGCCAGTGGAGCTGGGGGCAGAGCGGGACTGGGTGGTGCTCCATCCCTGACCCCTATGGGGGCTGGTCTGGGCCCCATCACACCCCCCCAAACATTCCTCTGTGCCCCCTTAGGGGGTGCATCCCACAGTTTGGGGACCACTGCCCTAAGATAACAGGTGAAGATGATGGGACAGCCAGGAGCGCCGCCAGCTTTTTTGCCGTCCTAGGTGGCGGAAGGTCCCGCCCCCGAAATGCCGCCCCTGACAGAGGCGGTGGAAGGTCCCACTCCCGAAATACCACCAACGACCGGGGCAGCCCAAGATCCCGCCCCCCAAATGCCACCCCTGACAGAGGCAGCGGAAGGTCCCGCCCCCAAAATACCGACGATGACCCGGGCGGCCGAAGATCCAGCCACCGCAGTCGCCGCCCCCCACATTCTAGTGCTCTAGGCGACCGCCTAGGTCGCCTAATGGGTTGCGCCGGCCCTGGGGACAGCCCAGGGAATGCAGTACCAGCAGCTAGTAAAGGAAGCAGCATGTGGCAGTTATTAGTAATGTCCCTGGGTTGGGACCCAGAGTAGTGGGCAGGCCTGGGTTCCCCAACAGCCACAGGCAAAGTGGCCAGAGCCCTGAGCAGGGGGAAACTTTTGTTTTGGAGCAAAAGCAAATGGCTGTAATTTAAACAGACCCAGAGATGGTACTGAAGACGCTGAAGAGGACCAACCATTAGGGGGACTTTGTTGCCCCAGAAGGGAACTGAACTTGAAGGAGTGAGCGGGCTGGAGAGCTGGGGCAATAAGAATCTATAAAGCAAAGAGTCTCCAGGGAGAAAGGCCTGGGGCACTGCTCTGTACCAGGGCAGGCACAGACTTAAAGCCAGCTCCAAAGTCCCTGAGGACTGAGCCCAGAGACAGAGCTAAAGATGGTAACAAGGGCACAGGGACAGG